TATTTACAACTGACTAACCTGGCTCCAGCAGGTTTCTTGATCAGTCCCCAAGTATTGTTATCATGAAGAGATTTAGTCTCATCATCCATGGCCTTCAGCCATTCAGTATTCTTTCGACTCCTCATAACTTCCTTATAGTCTCTAGGTTCTTCGTTTAGAACCTCACTTGCAGAGATTAAGGTATAAGCTATAAGATCTACATACCCAAGTTTCTGAGGTGGCTTGATGACTCTCCTCAACATGTCTCTTGCTAGCAGGTAATCATTATCATTCTCCTTATCTTCAACAACATTTTCTGCGTCTTCTTCGGCTTCATCTAGGGTACGCAATTTAGCATTAACATGTTCCACCTCAACAGGAATCTTTCCCTGTTCTAGCTCTTCATCAGCATCATCAGTTTTCTTAAAAGCCATCTCTGCTTCATTGAAAACTACATCTAGATTGGTGATACACCTCCTGTGACATGGCTCTAGGCACCATAGCCTATAAGCTTTGACTCCTTCAGGGTATCCCATGAACATGCATTTCAGAGCTCTAGGTTCGACCTTGTCTTGCCTAATATGAGCATAGGTCACGCAACCGAATACTCTCAGTTTGTCGAGACTAGGTGGATGTCCCGACCAAACTTCTTCAAGTGTCTTCATTCCCAAGGCAGTCGAGGGACATCTATTTATCAGGTAAGCTGCTGTCAAAACAGGCTCCGCCCAAAACACCTTATTCAATCCAACACTAACCAAAATGCATCTAACCCTTTAAAGGATTGTTCGATTGAATATATCAGCTAAACCATTTTGTTGAGGAGTACCTGCTACAGTCTTATGCCTTGCAAGGCTAGACTCAACACAGTAACTGTTGAATGCTTCATTGCAGAATTCAAGGCCATTGTCGCTTCTCAACCTCTTAACCTTTCTGCCAGTTTGAGTTTCGACCAGAATCTTCCAACTTTTAAAATTCTCAAAAGTTTCATCCTTCGTCTTCTGAATGAATATCCATAGCTTTCTGGAATAGTCATCAACGATGGATAGAAAATACCTTGCACCTGAGTGTGAAGGATTCATTACAGGCCCCCAAAGATTAGCATGAATGTAATCTAGGGATCCATGTGTTCTTTGCCTCCCTTTGTTAAGCTTCACCCTACAGGATTTACCAAATACACAAGATTCACAAAACTCTAACTTTTCGCTGACACGGCCCAATCTCATGTGCCACAATTATATCTTTGACACATGTTTCGTGGATGCAACATTTGTCGAACCACTTGCAACCTCAGCCTCCAGGGTATATAAGCCTTGTTTCTTCACACCTCTCAAGACTTTCTTCGACCCCTTCATGACTCTTAGGATACTTTTTTCTCCTTGAAAAACGTATCCCTTTCTGTCGAATTCACCACGAGAAATCAAATTTCTCTTTAAGTCAGGTACATACCTGACTTCAGTCAATAACCTTATTGACTCATCATGGAGCTTGAATCTCACAGATCCAATACCTGCAATTTTGCAAGATTTGTTGTTTCCCAGCAGCACAGATCCACCATCTTGATCACATAGCTCCTCGGACAATTCCCTGTTTGGAGTCATGTGCCAAGTGCAACATGAATTGATAATCCAATCTTTTCTCGAGTCGCCACTTAAAACAACAAGAACATCAGATGAGTCGAAGTCATCTTGAACAATGGCTACGTTGCCATTACCTCCATGATCTTTCAGGCGTTCAGGGCACACCTTTCTTGTGTGACCTTCCTTCTTACAATGATAACATCGAATACCAAATGTTTCTCCACTATAAGATTTCTGTTGACTTTTACCTTTCTTCTTGTCAAACTTACCATCCTTTCGCAAGAATTTTCCCTTAACGGTCAAACCTTCGTCCACCGTCGAAGGTTTATGCTCCTTTCGTATGTTTAAGTCCTTAGAATACAAGGCTGATTGAACTTCTTTAAAGGTCAGGGACTCCCTTCTATACAAGAGAGTTTATTTGAAGTGAGCATGTGTTTTGGGTAAAACACACTGTAGCAACAATGCTTGATCTTCATCATTGATCTTCACATCAATATTTTCAAGATCAAGAATCAGCTTGTTGAACATATCCAATTGCTCAGCTAACACTTTGTCTTCACTCATCTTGAATGAATACAAAGCTTGCTTCAGGTAGAGTCGATTCACCAGAGATTCGGTCATGTACAAACTTTCAAGTTTCACCCATAATCCGGATGCTGTAGTCTCCTTTGATACTTGTCGAAGAACCTTATCACCAAGGCTCAACAATATTGCGTTGTGGGCTTTCTCGATTATGCCCGTCTTTTTTTTTTGCCGTTAACGCAACGTTCATGGCTGCCTCACCCTTCAACGCTTCCAAACAACCCTGCTAAACTAGTAGCGCTTTCATCTTCAAGCGCCACAAACCGAATTCGTTCACTCCGGTGAACTTTTCAATCTCATACTTCGTTGAAGATATCTTCTCCACGCTCACCGCACCAATTTGTTGTGAATTAGATGTCTTTAAACAAAGTACAAACAATTTCTTAATGATCAAGAAACACACAAGGGTTAGGGTTAACAAAGAAGACAAGGTAAAACAACAAGGAACAACAAGGATTGATTATAAACTGCTATTCTTTCCTTTCTCTTAAAACAAGATTACAAGTATACAAGAATAACAAAATAACCTCTCTCTCTTGAAATTATGATTTTATATTCCTATTTTTCCTTATTCCAAGATTGAGAAACTAGCATCCTATTTATAAGAAAAATAACACACTAACCTAATGGGATTTTTAACAATTATCCATTACAAGCTAACTTAAACAATTTGGGTTACAAGCAAGGCTCAATCCAACATGCTAACAACCTAGCAATATTGACTAATACTTCGACTACAACACACATTATCTTCGACAACAGCATGCGAACAGACTTCGACCTCATGCTTAATTCCTGTCGAACCAGAAGCTACCCTTCGGCCATACTAGAGTTCGATCCAACATCTCACAAGAGAAATCCCAAATTTTTGAGAAGCTGACACATCTGAGAGATGAAGAGGAGAAATTTGGAAAAGGAGAGGGAAAGACGTCAAGATTTTTTGTGTGTGAAAGCTTCAATTAAAGTACGGGGAGGAGGAATTACTTAGGTGAATTTTTAGGTAGCAGGATGATGAGCGCCAAGAGTTTTTGTTTGTTAACCTTATTTTACATTGATAGTTCCCATATGCTTTGTATTTGTATTTCTGTATTTTGGCCAAATGAAGTTTGCCTAACCCCTTTGGTCAATGGTAATATCTCATAAATGTTAAAATAATGAATTTGGTGCGATATATATATATATATATATATATATATATATATATATATATATATATATATATATATATATATATATATATATATATATATATATATATATATATATATATATATATATATATATATATATATATATGATTGTGATTGTTTTTGACATATCGTTATTATGATTTGTGACTAAATGGGATAAGTCTCATTCGGTCATTGTTTGGTGATCAATAAATATAATTTGGCCGACTAAATTGGATTTTGAAAAATCCGTTTTGATTATTGTAGAAATTGCTGTAAAATTACAATCTTTTTTATTAAAATCTTAGAAACTGTAATTTTTCTATAAAAAAAGTTAAAAACTACATTTTTAGTCAGAAATTCGATCTTCGGTATGGAATTGCATGGATGTATGGAAAAAGTCGGAAAAAAAAGTCAAAAATTAGGAAAAATTGAAAACCAGAAAAAGTAAAAAAAAATTGGCGGCGATGGTTCGGCGGGCAGCGGTAGTCCAACGAGTCCAAAAAATTTCAGGCATTTTCGATAGTTTTTGGCATTTTTGATAGTTTTTGGCATTTTTCAAGTTTCGAAGCCTCTTCTTTGACTTTCGTGTAATATTGAAAATGATTGCATCTTTTTTACTAAATTAAATTTATTTTTAAATAAAATAAAATATTTATAATTCTCGTTTGAAAAATATGATAAGAAAAAGGAAAATGAATGACTTGCGAGTATAAAATTGAGATAATTTTAAATTAAAATGTTATTTGAATTTCGTGTAATATTAAAAATGATTGCATCCTTTTTACTAAATTAAATTTATTTTTAAATAAAATAAAATATTTATAATTTTCGTTTGAAAAATATGATAAGAAAAAGGAAAATGAATGACTTGCGAGTATAAAATTGAGATAATTTTAAATTAAAATGTTATTTGAATTTCGTGTAATATTGAAAATAATTGCATCCTTTTTACTAAATTAAATTTATTTTTAAATAAAATAAAATATTTATAATTTTCGTTTGAAAAATATGATAAGAAAAAGGAAAATGGATGACTTTGCGAGTATAAAATTGAGATAATTTTAAATTAAAATATTATTTAAATAGAGATTCTTTTTGAAAGTATGTGATATATGGTTCATACTAAGAACCTATTTTGGATAAATAATAATTTAAATAACTTGGGTGAATTGTATTGTTTTTACTACTACAATTCTCTATTTTTTTCTTTAAATTTCCTTTTTAAAAGCTCTGCACTCTCTTCCCTTTTCCTCCTAACTCCAAAAAAACAGACTTAAGGAATTTATCTAATCAAAACACAATTTTTTCTTACGTAGAATGTAACTTTTTATAGCCTTTCAAGACACTTATTTTCTTTCTATCCAATATGAAAAATATCCTCAATTCACACACAAATATAACATAAGTTCTAGTCAACATTAAAATAACATGAAAGAATTCAGGTTCTTATCTCTTATTTTCCATTAAAAGCACCATATTAGAATATTATCTTTTAAATAACTCTAACTAAAAAAATGGGTCTAGATGACCAATATCCATATTTTAAACAAATAATTATGTTATATATCACTGCGGAAAATATATGTATTGATTATTCATATTATACATGCAATAATTATATTTTAGTAACTAAAGTCGCAAATTCATATTTCATATTATAAAAACAAATAATATATATTACTTTAAATTATCAAGCAGAATACTTCAACAAAGGAGCTGTTGTGATTTCCTCAACATAACTAGTAGAACCAACATAACTAGTAGAACCAGTATCTGATTCAGTTTCTTTTGAATCGCTATCTGCATACTCATGAATTGTTTCATGTGGATATAATAAAGGCTTTGGTGGCATTTCAATATTTTCAAGATCTTGTTCAAGCATCTCCACTACTTTCTTCATTGAAGGGCGATCCACAGGTTTCAACTGTATGCACCAAAGTGCAATGATGAACATTTTTCTCAAAACATCGTTAAATTCCTCCATGATAACATCTTCCATTTCTCTTTTTCTATTTTTAACCAATTGATCATAAATCCAAAACGGAAAGTATTGTTGACTTGAATGCTCCGCGTGTGAATTCAAATTTCTTCTCCTACTAGTCATTTCAATCAAGAGCATTCCAAAGCTATACACATCAGCCTTATATGATATTTTCCCAATATTTTGATAGAACAGTTCTGGAGCCATGTACCCGATTGTTCCTCTTGCTGCTGTCAAAGTGGCTATACTCTTATCAATAGGATAAAGCTTTGCAAGACCAAAATCTGAAACTTTGGGGATGAAATTTTCATCAAGAAGAATATTATGAGGCTTAATATCAAAATGCAAAATCTGCATGTCACAACCTTGATGGAGATAAGAAATTCCACGTGCTACTCCTAGAGATATTTCATATACTTGGTTGCATGTTAAAGATATAACTTCCTCTTTGTTGAAAATATATTTATCAAGAGAGCCATTGGGCATGTACTCATATACAAGAGCACGTTTTGATCCTTCAACGCAAAACCCAATGAGTCTTACCACATTTGAATGGTATATTCTTCCTAAAGTAGCAACTTCACTCATGAAATCCTGCCCACTAGTTTTTGATTTTATCTTCAACATCTTAATGGCTACAAATGGACCACTTATTAAGTTTCCTCTATACACATCTCCATAACCTCCTTCACCCAATTTTAACTTGAAATTTTTTGTCATTTGTTTTATCTCTTTGTATGAATACCTTATTGGAATGAGAGTATTGCTTTGTAGAAAATCTTCAATATTTTCATATATTGATTCATGTCTTCTTCGATATGTATAGATCAACAACGCCGAAAAAAGTATGATGACCAATATAATTCTAGATACAAGGTATGGCAAAATATACCTTCCGGTAACTATGCCTGCTCTATACATGTTAATATGTGATTTATATATGACTATCTTATCCATGCCTGTCAGCTCCCGAAGTCCTACAATACATATAATATTATATTAGTAATTCTGATCTAGTTTAGTATAGCATTATCCAACAATAAATGGATTTAATTGAAACATACCTTCGTAGATTCCAGCAACGTAATCTGCAGGAAAAAAATTCAGTAAACTTTTTGCTTTGATTTCAAAATTATCGTGCAGTTATCGTTTGATTAAGTTAAAATGAATTTAAAATGCTAAAAAACCAAATTCATAGAACGTGTGAGGATAAATATTCACCAAAAAAATTTAGATGAAATGATAAAGAATATTTTAAAACTTAAATGGATGTCATGATTAAATTGAACTCTAAACCTGTAGGAGTGATGAAGTTTTTTGAATTTTTTTCTATTTTAAATAGAATAGAGAGATTCCAGCCATTTTAACTGAAATGGATATCTTTATTAGAATGGATTCGTCTAGAAAAAATATAATTATTTTCCCATTCACAAATCAAGGTAGTCTATTTTAACGGTAATATTGTGAAGTGTGTCTTCAATGATTACATGTTGTGGAAATTTGAGTTTGAGGGGATCAAAGTTTATCACAAGCTGATATATTACTTTCTGTGACGGATGAAAGGGGAGGAAGGGTAAAGACAGTGTTACGAAGGTATAAAAAATTATGGCGATGAAGACTTAATTTAGGATAGAGGTTTATGACAGGGAGACCATGGATGATAAGGAAGTATAATCCTAGTTTTAGTAAGAGAAATTGTATAGTGGTCTCTGATTGTCATTTGACTTATGATAAGGCAAGGAGGAAGATTGCACCATCTTAAGGATATTATTATGATGACATTGATTGTTATGCTTTGAATGTGGCTGAAGGATTAAAGATGACTGAATAATCATACTTGTGGACTTGATAAACTATCTAAATAGCAAAATGTAGTTATAGGTGCAAGTGGATGCAAGTAACAAGATCAAGGTTTAACATTGATTTGGTCTTGAATATTACTGTTAAATAGTTATTCAGCTTTGAAAATACAGCAAGGTGGTTGATTGATAAATCGACATCACCATTAATTTTGAGTCAAAGTGAAAGTTTGCATAAATATGCTTTAAAAACTCAAGTGATCAAAGGAGACTTATTCTTACACAAAATTGATTTTTTTGTTAAAATTTAACAAAAATTAATGATGTATTGGTTAACGGTCAAAGATTAACAGTCAATGTTTAATGGTTAACAAAAAAAACAAATTGAAGAGGAGGTTATACTTGGAAACCTTTACTTAAATTAAACAAAGAAAATCTTATAGCATAAGAAAGACAAGAGATTCTTACCAAACATTAGGCGGACCTTGTCTGCCCAAGATCCTGAAAATTACAAATGAAGAATAAATACAAAATGGGATAAATGGGAAAGAAAATAAATTTCAAAAGTAGTAATGATGTAACCTATTTGAACTGGTCTTACCGCAAGAGTCAAAAGGACAGTCAAATACAATACATTGAATCTCGTTGGCGGTGTCGTTGAGTAAGCATGCATCACAAGGACAAGAGGCTTGCATCCATGAAATTTCAAATCCATATCGAAGCGCTTTATGAATATCAATATATGAAATGTTACCTGTAAAAACAATAATATTTAAACAGCAAAAATTGACACCATGAAAAAAACAAATTTAAGACGGCATTGAGGTTCGACTATTCCAAAGGGTGGGTCCCCAATAATAAATCTGTTACCTATAACGGTGTCAAATGAAGCACTCCAGAAAGAAGTGAGAGTAATTAGCATAACTCGGCACTGAGGCTCCAGAATTGAAAACGGTGGGTCCCCAACAATAGCGTAAGTATGTTGATCATCCAAGCATGAAGCGGTGTCGGCATAATACTCATCCACAACCTTACTAGGTGGACGTGTACACTTCATGAAAATTACAGGCCTTGATATATCATATCTATAGTAATCGGGATCGGGCCATCGAGTTAAGTCGTACGCGTATGAATTATTTTCCTTGGGGATGCGCCGGTTCATTGAATCAAAATGAGTAAAGTTGTTTTGGGATAAGAAGAAGCGAGGAAGAGAGGAGCAATTGGTAGGTTGAATGTTAGGGTCAACAACTCGGATTGTGTAGTTTTTATAATTGATTGATTCAACATGATAATAACCATCATACAAACTCAACACAGTGACGTTGTTCACACAATCCAACTCGTAGCTCTTGTTCCCACAGTGTTCTGCGTCTTGTTTTAGTCTGAATGGATGGCTTATGTTTGTGATTTTTCCACAGGAAGAAGAAAAGCAAGGCTGGGAGTTGGAGTTGGAATATGTTAGTTGTGGAAGAATAAACAAGAAGAAGAAGAGAAACATTATCACACAACTCGCTGAAATCATTTTCATTCACGGTACTAGTTTTGTTTTGGTGGATGACTAGAGTTTTATAGGAAACTATTACATAGAAAAATGGTTGAAATGATTGAAAATCTTTTAATGATGATGTATTTCTCCATGAAGTAGGGACCCCTTAGATTTGGACTCTGATCTAACGCGTATTGAATTTAAAATCTTCTAATTTTAAATTAGTAGTTGAATTATTGAAAACTAGTTTATAAACTAAGAAAGTTCAACAGTCTAGTCTCAATTAATGACCAGATTATCTATATTATGTAAATAGGTATGAACTCATACTGCGTGCCATTTAGATAAGAGTATGAATATATCAAGCTGACAAAGAGGCTAAGTTCAGGTCAAAGTTTTATTTATTAAAAAAGACAGTTTTTCGAGCATATTTAACTAAAAAACAAAGGTCACATACTACTATTTTTTTTTATAAAGTTATTGAGGTTGGGTTACATATATAAATATGAATAATATTTTAGAATTACTTTTTTTTATTGTATTATATTTTGTATTTTGAGTAAAGTTATAAATTTATTAATTTTCATTACCTTTTTTTAAATATTTAAACATATTATTAGTAACTAGAATTGAAATATGGCATTTTATACAGTAAGATTCTATAAAATATTAAACAATAAAATAAAATTTAGTTATTTTGAAAATTTTATAAAAATAAGATGAAAAGAATTTATGAACAATGATACAAGTTGTTTTCGATAAAATAGTCTCTCATAACATAAGTCACTAAATAAATATTCATATGTGAACCAAAAGTATTCATATGTGAAACAAAAGATTGATGATGTGGTGATGCAAAGCTCCATGCGGCAATGTAGACTTTTGGTGTAGTGAAGCGGGTGTGTGTTTGCAAGTGTTTGGAACAAAATTGGTTTGTCTCATATTTTTTAAGTTTTGATGATAACAAAGTATTTAAAGAACAATTGCGTATACTAATGTTTGTTCAAATGTGCATGATCATAGACTAAAATTTCATATAGAATCCAAGTATTGATTCTAACTATGAACATCCAAAGAGAAGCTTAAAGACCAAATTCTGATGGACCAGAAGTTGAAGACCAGACTCTGAAGAAGTCAACTTCTGAAGAGGTCAACATCTAAAAATCATAGTCTGAAAGAGTCAGTCTTTGAAGACCATACTTAAAGATTTCTGCTTCTGATAATCAGAATCTGAGCCAGTCAAAACGCAAGGACCAATGTGATTCTGATGGGTCACTATCAACCTCTGAGTCTATTTTGTCACGTGAAGACCTAAACTCTATTTTCTTCATAGAGTGTTCTAGGATACAACTACTAACTCCTTTTGTAGCAAAAGGATTTCAAACTAGCCTTCACCTACCTTGACTATTTGGTGAAACATCCCAACTTCTCTTTGAAGCTTCTCAAAGGACTCAATTGTGCTGGATCTTTAACGACTATTTTCTTCTCTATTTAAGGAGCTAAAAACTTGAAGAAAGATGCACCAACTGACATTAAAAGAGAAGCTACTATGTCAACATAAAAGCACAAGTTAAACTTAGGATTTCTAAGATATACAAGGATAAGAAATTCTAAGTTTCTTATCTGTTAGGTAGATTATTAGAAGTTTCTTACTAAGTGTTTGAGCATTTGAAGAGTCTTGCTTAAAAGACACATTTATTCACATCTATCAGAGTAAAATATTAAATTCAATAAAATTCACCTCAAAAGGGCGTACATTTCCTAATAAACCAAAATAGGTCAAGGTTCCGTAAACAACAGATTTTCCCAAAAGACATAAAAAATTGCATAAAGGCAGCGGAACTCAAAAGGCATAATCCAAAGTTTTCCTTATACGGGAAGATAATCAAAATAACTCAAATAAAACATGGTTCAACTCAAAGACCCAAACCCGATGTTACACTATCAGAGCAAAACCCTCTAAGTTAACCAAAAGGCCAACAACTCAAAACTTCAAAAGTCCTCAATGACATCCACATCTAAACCTGGTCATCTGCATGTTACCCACGAGGAGGCAACATTCAAACAGGCAGGGTGAGTAAAACGATTCATAATAATCAATGTAGGAAATCAACATATAAAATGATGTTATTTTCATATTCAACATTATCATATTCATCCATGGGTATCAAAGGCCACAACATCATAATTTACTCAAAATCATCTCATAAATGCAAATGCAACAAGACTCAATGCATGTGGTACCAATCATCACAACTCGATGGACATTGGGCCATCAACCCTCCATAGATCCCCATCAATAGAATCGATTCTACTCGAGAACCGAAGCACATCAAAATACCTCAAATCCGCACAATGGGATTGAAGCTAAAGTAATCGAGGTCCTGAACCGAAGTCCGGATGCACATGAATGCATGATGCACACGTCAATAATCATCCTCATAATAACAGCATAGGTGTATCATCATTTATCATAATAATCATCATCAAAACTCATATCATCATAGAATCATCAAAACTCATGGAAATATCATCATAGCTCATCAATTATTACATCATAGGAAACATCATATAATCATGTACAAATCACATAACAATCATAGTCATACTCATGTTACTCCATCAGAGAAATCACAGCATCAAACATCAAGGCATCGTTGCACAAAATTAACATTCGCGAAACTCTGCTACGTTCACTAGCAAGTTCGCTAGGCGAGTATGGGGCGAGTTTCTTCGTTGTGCGAAGGATTCTTCGCAGTGCGAGTCTGAGACAAAATCGTTCGCTGTGCGAACAACGCGATGTCAGCAAAACGCTGTTACGCACCAGAACCTAAAACCAACTCAAAAGCCCCACAATTCACTTCCCCAACGCCCCCAAAACATCCCTAAATCATCCCTAAGGTCTTACGGTGATAAAGGCATAAAACCTACGGTTTATTAGGCCAATTCCGTATCCCATTCACGCCCTAATTCCCAAATTTCCTTACAATTACCCATACTCATCAGAGTTCCTCATTATCCAATATCCTTACAGGGTTAGACAAATGTCAAATCAGAGTTTTGGCCACGAAAGCCTAATTTCCCTTAATCCAAATAAATCCCTACGATTAAAATCTCAATAATAGAATTAGGCCACGAAGGCCAAATTCCCTTTTTCTCATAATTCTCCTCAAAGTCCTTAAACCCTTAAATCGAACTTAAATACATTGAATTTACACATTGAAAATAATGAAGGCAATACTCCCCATACCTTAATTGTCGACTCAAAGCCTTCTCAAATCTTTCAGAGAACCTTTAATTTTTGCTTCAATTCTTCCTCCTCAGAGCTCTGGCCTCAATTCTTTTCACGGTCTAACAAAATGAATCCTAACCCCATCACAATTTCCTTTTTGTTAAACCTAGCCTTGGGCCTCTGAATTGGGCTTTTCCAATATTAACCTCACTAACTCCTCCCCAAATGTCCAATTTTCCCTTAGCTAACTTATATTTATTTAAATTAATAATAATACTAATATATTCATATTATATACTATTATTTAAATAAATAATCCAAATTCCATTAATTCTCAATAATCCACAACAACCACCGAAAATCACCGAAACATGAATATTCTTATTTAAATAAATTAAATAAATATTCTCAATAGAATTTGGGGTGTTACAACTCTCCCCCACTTAAAAGAATTTTCTCCCTCGAAAATTACCTCAAGGAAACAAAGTCGGATACGACTACCTCATCTAATATTCACGCTCCCAAGTCCAACTTTCTCCAGCTGGTCCTCCCCAAACTACCTTCACCAAGGGAATCTCTTTACCTCGCAGTTGCTTCACTTCTCGTTCATCAATTCGAACTGACAACGTCTCAACAGTTAAGTCATCTCTCACTTGTACATCATCCATCCGAATCACATACGACGAATCTAGAATGTAATTCCTCAACTGTGACACATGAAACACATCATGTAAATTCGCTAGCGACGACGGTAAAGCAATCCGATATGCTACTTCCCCCACCCTCTGTGAAATCTGATACGGACCAATAAAACGCGATGTGAGCTTTCGAGAATTCAAAGCTCGGCCAACACCAGTTACCAGCGTAACTCTCAAAAACACGTGATCCCCCTCTTGGAATTCAAGTGCTTTCCTCCTCTTCTCATGATAACTTTTCTGACGACTCTGCGACGCTTTCATCTTTTCCTGGATCATCTTGATCTTTTTAGTCGTCTCTTGTAAAATCTCAGGTCCGAGTATAACACTCTCGCCTGATTCATACCAACACAAAGGAGTACTACACCTCCTACCATACAAAGCCTCATACGGTGCCATTTCGATAATAGAATGGTAACTATTATTGTAGGTAAACTTGATCAACGACAAATGACTATCCCACGATCCACCTTGATCCAACACACAAGCTCTCAGCAAATCCTCTAAAGACTGGATAGTTCTCTCTATCTATCCATCCGTCTGCGAATGATAGGTAGAACTCAACCTCAACTTAGTAGCCAAAGCTGTCTGCAAACTCTCCCAGAACCTCGACGTAAATCTTGGATCTCTATCAGACACAATACTCGAAGGAATACCATGTAGTTTCATAATCTGATCAATATATACTTCGACAAGCTTCTGCAACGAATAATTTAATGTTATGACTCGTCTCTATGATTAAACCTACTTCTGTTGATGACAACTATCCCATGATGGTTGAATTGTGGCAATGTAAGAAAAGTTGAATCAATTTTAAAGAAATGATGTTTGAAATACCCAAACCTCATAAGAAGAACATTATTGAAACAAAATGGATCTTCAAAAACAAGTTTAATGAGCAATGTGAAGTGGTAAGGAATAAAGGTAAAGTTGTAGCTCAAGGCTACAGTCAGCAAGAAGGTATTAATTTATGTGAAACCTTTGAACCTATTGGAAGGTTAGAGGAAATCAGACTACTTTTATTCTATGTTATTAATCATAATATCACTTTATATCAAATGGATATTAAGAGTGCATTTTTAAATGATGTTATTTTTGAAGAAGTGTACGTCAAACAATTACCTGGATTTGAGGATCTAATCTACCCATAACATGTCTTTAAATTTAATAAATCACTCTATAACCTCAAACAAGCTCCCAGAGCTTAGTATGAGAGACTAAGTAATTTTCTATTAGAAAATGATTTTTAAAAAGAATGATTTGACATTACACTCTTCAAAAAGAAACTTACAAATGACATCTTAATTGTTCAAGTGTATGTTGATGATATCATGTTTTCTTCTATTAACGCTATTCTTTGCGAAATGTTTTCTGAGTTAATGCAAGGTGAATTTGAAATGAGTATGATGGAAGAGCTGAAATTTTTCCTTATTCAAATTAGCCAATACAAGGATGAAGTATATGTTCATCAAACTAAGTACACAAAAGAGCTTCAGAGTATGAATGGCTATTTCAATTCTATTATGTTTGGTAGATGCTAGAGTAAATGTTTAAGATCATGAGTATGAACGGGGAATAATATGGAAAACAAAAGAAAAAAATGTTTATATTTTGCTTTGCTAACTGATATTTCGAATAGGGGGAGAAGAAGTCGAATGACCTAAGCGTATTGAGAAGTTTAGTTGAAATTAGCAAAGTAATTCACACTGACAGAGGGATTTAGTGATGCACATAGACTGCATCAGGAAATTTTTCTTTGGATTTTAAGCCGAATGCCATAGCCAGTTGGATCAGTTGGTTAATTTAGTGTACCTTAATTTCTTTAGTATACTGAGAAGTTATTCAAATTGCAAGAACTGATATAGGATTAGATGCAAGAAAATTCTATTAACAATATGTTCAAATGTATTTTCAAATCATTTAGTCTGTAAATATTAATATGAAAGAAATTTGCATTGTACTATATTGCTAATGTGATTTTGTATAGTCTAGCCTGCGAGCACATCATTGAGTGAGTATTCTGCAACACTTCATAAAAAGTGGGTAGTTGCCCCTTACAGTGATGTTGAACTCAGATTGTTTGAACTCCCTTTTAATATTATTTTGCATGTAAAAAAACTATCAAAGTACATCAAGATTATTAATACAACACTTATATATTATATACAACACCTATAGTATATGCAACAATACCTATCTCATTCATGTATAGATTCCAACTCTAAAGTTGAGTATTTTGTCGGAATTTCAGCAACTTTGAAAGTACTTGAGTGAATAGGATTTGGCGGCACAACCAAATTTTCTTCTTCTAAAGCCTCTAACATTCGAAGCACAACTTTTATAGATGGGCGGTTTATTGCATGCCACTGAATGCACCACAGTCCTACAATTGCAAGTTTCTTTAATATTATATCATTTTCTTCTCCCTCAATTTTCACTTGCACATCTTTCTCTTCAAAGAGATTGTGAATCCATTCTGGATATAGAACTTGGGAATTTTCCTCAGACAACTGACTTATATTCTTTCTTCCTCCAACCATTTCTAGTAGTAACATCCCATAACTATATATGTCTGCTTTATACGATATATTTCCAAAGTTTCTTGAAAATACTTCAGGTGCAATGTATCCCAAAGTTCCTCTTGCAGCAGTTACTGAAACAGCGCTTTGATCTTTAGAACATAATTTAGCCAAACCAAAATCTGTAATTTTGGGAAGTAACTTGTCGTCTAATAACACATTGTGCGGATTAATATCAAAGTGAAGAATTTGTTGATCACAACTCATATGAAGATACTCAATACCCTTTGCTATGCCGATAGCAATTTGATGTAATTTCTTCCAGCCGAGAAAACGGTCCTTGTCATCAGGTCGGGCTATAAATTTTTGTAATGAACCGTTTGAAAAGAAATTATAAACAAGAGCACGATAGCATCCATCTGCACAAAATCCAAGCAAGCGAACCACATTAATGTGATGAACTTTTCCCATTGCTTTCACTTCATTAATGAATTCTTTTCCATCACCCTCTGTGTTGTTAAGCATCTTCACAGCCACGAGAATTTCATTCGATAGTTTACCTTTGAAAACCGCTCCATGAGCTCCTTCACCTAATTTTTCTCTAAAATTATTCGTAACTCTCTTTATATCGGCATACGAGAATCTTGCAGGATTGAGCGCTCTATATTCCTCCAAGAATTTTTCAATTCTAGTCTCGTCCTCACCTTTCATTTTAAAATAGTTATAGACACATAAGCATGTTGTGAGAATCAATGTCACCAACATCAAACCAACGAACGAAACTGCACAAAACAACACTACTTAGTAATTCTTTTTGAATAACAAATATAATAAGTGTCGAGAAATGTGATTGAGCCTAACTTAATCTTATAAAATCGGTTAGTAGAGTGAGGATTGCCCCCACTATAAACACATGTTTATGGCATATATTATCCTATGTGTGACCCTTAAAACAACACCCTTTTACGTTTAGGATTAGGCAACTGAAATATGAAAAAAAATGGTAGGTGATCCGATAGCGGAAACCATAATAAATAGTTTAGTTGATCTTAAGCGAAACTCTTGATACCATGTCAAGATATGTGATTAGGCATAACTCAATGTTATAAAATTGGTTAATACAATAAAGACTGTCTCTATTTATTAACACATTTTATATTATCCAATGTAAAGTCAATTTTAACTTCTCCAAATAAAAACATCACACATTATAAAAAGAAAAATCATTAAAAATGACAATGAAAGCACGTGTCTATGAATCTCTATTAGCCATTTAAATGTATGGAATGTGAATGATTGTTATTTGAAGTGGTACTTGGTTAAACTTTGATAAGGTCACTATTATGGAGGATGAGTCTCCCCAAATTCTGTGATGAGAAGTAAGTGTTTTAAAAACTTTTTATGGATACTAAAACCAAATAAATGAAATAAACATACTTTTATAATCCGTAAATAAAAAGTGAAGAAATATCTCTTACCTGTGACATATAGAATTATTTTCTTAGTTGGTTTGTGATGACGGTCAAAACATTCCGTCTCATCTTCTGTTCCGTTGTTTTTCAGTTTACACATCTTGCCTTCTTTTTCACACTTCATACAATTGGGTTTTGACCATGTCAAATCCAAAAAATTCTCATATTCCAGATATGCAGGCGAGTACACCGCTGAGGAAATAACATCTAAAGTCTTGGTGCAAAGTAGTGGATCCAAACCTGAGTCAAGGAGTGTATTAGAAGACCTAACAACATGAACTGGGCAGGATATTGAGCTACAATGGAGGAAAGTGAAGTTATAAGTAGTATAGGAACTCTCAGCTAGTTTAAAAGGAGAAGTTAGATATTGAAAGAGCTTTAAAAACTGTCCTGGAAGACAATTTTCTGGGTCAGATACTCGTAAATGGCGCTCTGCATAAAATATGCTATTGACTTCGAGTACAACTGGACCAGAAGGTGAAGGAAGCTCTATTAGTGTTTTGTTTTTGTCGGAACAAGTAAGATCAAATCCTGTATAACTGCATCCATTTTCTGTTTCACTGCCTTTAAGTCGGAAGGGAAATCGGATTGGCGGGCCGTCACGTCCGCACCTGGAATCCCTCCCGCTACAGCCGTTAACTTGCCACATAACTCTGCTGTAAATCACTATGAGAATCATGACAACCATCGCATTTGAAGTTACCATTTTAGCACTTATTGATGATACTTGAACCTTCTAATAGAGATCATACGAATAATAGGACTATTATGCCCTGAGAATTGAATACTGTGTTAGATGTCTTAGAAAATCATTTTCATGTGGAAACTCATTTATTGTACTACAGTTGAAAAGTCCAGCGATGAAAATTGAGCTATTCAATTCAAACGCGTATATGTAATGTCGATCAATTTTGGACGTTTCTATGTGGTTGAATAGAAACTAGTGATTGGTGTTATTAGTAGCATCAATAATTGACCTTTTTAGATATTATATGCTCGGTCTAAAATATTTTTTGATTTTTGAAATGTATTTTCTAACGTATATTTTTTTCAATTATTTTTTAATTAATTCTGCATACGTATCTTTGGAATATTTTCGTATACGTATTTATGGAAGAAAATTAGGTACAGAATACTAAAAAATTAATATTGCAACGATAAAATTAACATTCATAAAATAAAATCGGCGTTACATTGATGATTTCGATAAAAATTTAAATACTATATTTTAATAGTCCGGTGGACGCTTGCACATATTTAAGATGCCATCGACCGTTTTTCGGGTCGTCACCTCCAATTCGAGCGAAATTTTTTCTTCGAAGCCTAAATACGTTCGCCACATCGCCCTAACATCGTCTTGATTATTGAGCTCAAACTTGTTGTAAACAACGTTCCCTTCGTTGTCAACTGAAGGTGAACGATACTCAAGTTTCACAACCTTTCGTTTGTCATTGTAAGGTAGGCGATATTGGATCTCTTCTATGATATCAGCGAAGGGGGTGAGATCCATGAGCTTGAACGTTCTCCTGGGTGTTTTACCGTCAGAAAATGAGACACTTGCGACATACCAACGGATCTTGATTTCACACAATTGAGACATTTTTGTATTTGTGTGAAAGATAGCAAATGAAACCTCAAATTTATAGAAAACCTAGGTGAATATGGACCAACCATTTTCTGTCAAACTTTTTTCTGGAGCTATATTCATGGAACAGCCACATAATTATTGGTTTCGAAGGTGTATCTCTGGAACTTTTCATGAATTCAAAATGAATTAAAACAAGTGTCGCCGGCTAAATCCATTGGTGGTACCTCTTTGGACTTTTCCGCATTCGATTCCTTTTTCAATGTTGTTCAATCTTTCGAATTCGTGCATCCTTTCAACATAATGATCCAGTCACTTCTCAACATTTGCAGTTGAATGAGTTGTCCATTATGGTGATTAAGGTTGAATGGGGCATCCCGATTTCAAGTAAACTTGTACAAAATATCTTGATTTTGTAAGTCACTCAATACACATGATGCGATCATTTGGATTTTGAGGTAGTACGGTACGGAGTGGAAAAAAAGGTTTTTGAAAACCCGTATCGCATCAAGTCAATGCACACCCTATCATGTGCACATGCAATAAGATGACCCATATCAGGGAAGGTCATCCATTTCGACACTGGTGTCAGAACACTCAAGCAAGGAACAAGAGATTCATAAACCGAATCAAATATTTTTTTTTCATACAACCGCGTGTACGATTCTTTATGTGTCTTCAACTATTGGATTAGTTGATGACGGACAAGCGCATGACTACCCTCCCTTTTACCAAGCAAAGCCGAAACAAATCGGTAACCACAATTACCATCCCCTTCAACATTGACAATACAGTCGATGTATTTATGCTTAAAAATCGACATCTCGTCGATGAATGGAATTTTTAGTGGAATCGGGGTTGGAGGCGGTTTGCTTATGCGAGCTCCTTTTATAAAACGTTTTTGAGATTTAGGAGTCGGTGAACCGGGATAAAGTTTTTCAACATGCTCACAATAAGAAGGATACCGTGTATTCGAGTTGTCATTCAATGTAGGCTTCATTTTCTTCGGAGCACCTTTTGTCTTTACCGGTTGAGAAGGTGGTTTTATGTCGGTTGTTTCGGGATATGCAATCTTCCTCAATTGTTCTTTGATGTGGAGTTTCATGTTGTCATCGTCCTTTGGAAATCTCTCTTGTATCGCTTCCCATTCGGTCCAAATAGAGATATTCGGTTTACCTCCTTCCATGAAACCATCATCATCAAAACTAAACCTTTTCTAATGAGGGAAAACTTTGTCCATTCTTATTGGCTCACCTAGTTTCAATTTTTTAGCAATAACACAAGCACACAGAAGACCATAGGTTTTCACAATAGTGCAACCACACATTGCGCTATCAGAACCTACAGTTTCAGCTCGTTTGGCCTCGTGAAAAATATAGTTCAACCCCGGCCGAGACATATTGCCGGTCAATTGAGAATAAAGAATGTTTTCTTTAGATCGATGTTTCAATACCATTATACTCCAACCAAATGTTATTTGTATCTCATTATGTTGGTTTTTAATCATGAGATTTACAGAGTCCCAATCTCGAAACAAATCCCCCTTGCTATTACCCAACCAAATTTTCAAACTAGCATGGGTCGACTCAACTCTGTTGGTGGTTGTATTTCCAAGGTATCAGACATTATCAGTTCACACACAAACTATCTTCTCCTTCACCTAATCAAGAATGGTACTTTCAACGTATTTCAATAAAGCAGGATACTTTTCACACACTTTCTAGAATTGAATGACATAATCAACATATAATTCTTTTGTGGAAGAACATTTTTTGTTATATAATATCGATAAAGTAATGCTTTAGAAGAAGAAAATACCTTTGTAACCTCATTCATTAATGCAGTATCGTGGTCGGTAACAATCGCTTTAGGCATCTCAACTTGATCCTTCAAAAGTGACTGACACACCTCTAATACCCATGTAAAATTGTCCTCTTTTTCACACTCCAGAGAAGCAAAACCAACAACATATGTCTTCTTGGTAGACGTAACACCAACCATCTCAAATAAAGGAAGTCTATACTCGTTAGTCTTATAGGTAGAATCAAGAATGAGCACTATCGAGAAAGTGTTGAACAACTTTATCGAATTCGGATGATTCTAAAAAATATCTCGGACTTTAACTCCATCGTCGCAAGTTCTGTATCGAAACACATAACTGTTATCATCCAACAATTTCAACAGTTGTTACATCTCACTTCTATCTCCCCTAATCTCCTTGTTGGCGCAGTACCGAATGTTATACATTTTCCTTATATTTGATATATTATCGGGTTCCTTCTGTTTCAATGTGGCAAGTATATTTTTCGGTTGGACAAGATTCAAGGTCATGTTATTAATACATGTCTTCTCTTTCGGCTTGAGCCGACATACACTAGGATGACCTTGTAACTTTAAGCATAATTCATGGTTATGCAAACCACAAATAACAATTTTCCACTTTTTGGTGCTCAAGATGTAACCACAAATCTTAAAAGGACATTCACATTTTCTACTACTACTGTCATCTCTTTTAAACTTCCGTAGAGGAGTCTGATATTTCCTGCTTCTTTCGCACAATAATGTTACAAAAGCGTTTCTTCTTTCAAAACCATTATCTGATCTTCCTATAACCACACCAAAACCAAGTCTAGTTGTAGTCCTACAAATCCATGTGAGTGTGCTATCACGATCATCAAACTCTTTCTTGTTATTAAAGTCAACATCGATATCTAACGACTTTACGACAACCCCTTGAACATTAAGAGAAACATCATTTGTAGAAACTAATTATTTTGAGATATTATCGGGGTGCACCATATTTATTTGTAAACAATAAGAAAAATAAACAAAAATTACAAATCTGCTGTAAATAAACAGGTCACAGACACATTCCGGAGATGTACATCCGAAAGTGTTCATCTTCGACACGTTTCGGAGGTACACCTCCGAAAGCAACATTACTTTTTCCCCCCAAAAGTTTGATGATTAATGTGAGCAATGTAGTGGACAAAGTGCAATCTTTACTTGAAATTCGGTCTTTTCTTACTCCCTTTGATTTGTTGCACGAAAAAGCTGGAGTTTTAGAGTGAAAAATGATATTGAGAATGTAGGATTTTTTAGGTTGATGAAGGTGTGTGTGGAAGAAGAAAACATAAAAATGAGAGGAATGATCATGCAGGTTTCAAATATAGCAGAAAATTCTGGAGTTGTATCTACGAAACAATTTGGCGCTTAGACGTTTCAGAGGTGCATCTACGGAAGTTTCCCTGAACTGAATTATTTTGAAGTTTTTCTCGGCGTTTACAAGTTTAAAATTATTATTCAGTAGATGTAGTTCCGAAAAAAAATCAAATTTTGGAAGAAAAAAAAAGGTGCGTTCGGATATATATCTCCGGAAGCAGAGGGCATAAAAGGAAATGCGCTAGGTGCCTAAGAGTATCAAGGAGTGTTTAAGAAATTCTTAAAACTTATTTATTGGTGGAAAAATTATTCTTTTAAAATCCACTCTATTATTATATTTTCAATCCTTTATTAAAGCTCCATCAGATATTTACTTTAAAATTGAGTCTATTTTAAATAATTCTTTTGGGATGGGAGCAATGTTTCAAAAATCAGACCGAAGATCGAACCGGTGAAACTTACAATTTAAGGTTCAATTGGTTAAATCGATTAAACCTACAGCCGAGTTATTTATTAAATTAACTAATAATATAAAACTAAATTTCATAGATATGTCACACATTATTATATGTTCTCAACTTAATAAAATCAATATTTCAAAAATCTATTACAAATTTAATACAACAATATCAATATCACATAACATAACATAATTTTACACTTCATTTCAACCATTATTTAAGAATATTTTGACCCATCTAAAGAATTACAATAAAATAAATTAAACTAATTTAAACCAAATAATTAATAATACCTAAATTAAATAAGATAGAATACCAAAATATAAATTGTACAACATACTTCATTAAACAACAAAAAATTGAATTTGAATTGAACTACGATAACAAGTCTTAATTGACAACAACAAACAATATTGACTTGAACAAAAATCAATGGAGTTGTACATTGTGACTATGTTTGAAAGATATGACATGATGACAGTGAAGTGTGGTTGAAAG